TGGGCTGACCCCGGAGCTGCCAAACCTGCCCACCCGCAGAGCTGGCCTGGGGAGGGGGGGCTGCCCGTTCAGTGACACCCACGGGGCTGAGCGTGCTCCCAGGACATGCAGGAGCTGTGTTCACTTCGGGGGCACCGGGAATACCCTGGTGGCAATCTGAAAGCCCATGGTTTCCCACAAGGAGTCAGTCTTGGGTGTTTGAATTTCTGAAATTGCCGATCCCTGCTCTCTGCGCCACGCTGTCTGGTGGCAGTGCTGCAGTGTAGGATGTGCAGCGTGCAGATACACCAAACTGGCTGAACTGGGGTTTTTTTGCTGAGTGGGGTTGTTGTGCTTCATTTTTTTAAGAACATATACATTGGTGCGTGTGTCCTTAGATGCTAAGTGTTCGTGTATGTAGACAAATGTCAGAATACTTTGAAGAGATATTAGTACCTTGGGGTTTGTAACAGTGCCTACCAACGTGCCTGTTCCTGTTCAGCTGCGTTTCACAGCCAGCTTGTATTTCTTGTGTGCATTTTGTTTCTTGGCAGCTGACTGTGGGGCACCAACAACGCTACCGTTTGCTAACCTAAACAAGGAGTATAGAAATCAGACTGAGTTTCCTGTTGGGAAGACTGTGAAGTACACTTGCCGGCCTGGATACATGAAACATCCACAGATATCACCAACTATTACGTGTCTCGAAAATCAAACGTGGTCTGAAGCCCAGGAGTTTTGCAAACGTATGTTTTGCAGATGCTTCTCGTTTGTTTAAATTCCAGGGTGATGACTGAAGCCTTGTAATTTCTGCCTTTGGGTTCCCTCCTCTGTGGGGTTTGGGCAGACTCCCAGAATTAGCGTCCCTTTTCCCAGGGCACTGAGTTAAAGAAGCTTAAAACCAGGTCTTTTTCTGCCCAGGGAAAAAGTGTGAGCATCCAGGAGAACTGGAGAACGGCAGAGTTATCGTGACAACAGATCTCTTCTTCGGGTCAACAGTGAATTACACCTGCAACGAAGGGTGAGTCCCAGCCCAGCTCCTTCGCCTCACCGAGATGAGATCAGCCACGCTTGTGAGCTCCCTGCAACTCGCGGGCACCGCGTGTCTGCCCATGAGAGACCAGGGCTTGGGGCTCCAAGCTCGGAGCGCCCCAGTGTTGCCTGTATGAGGCGATGCTGGAGGAGAAACTGGAGTTCTCAGGCGCTGAGAGAAAACAGAACTCATCAAAGGATCAGGGAAAACCTCAGAATCCTTTGGGCTGTTTAAAACAGTTTTAACACTAAAGCAGTTCTGGTCATTGCAACAGTCTATTTCTAGTCACATTTCTAGTTCAAATGGCAACAGAAATTGGAGAAGCGGATTTATTTATACATTTTCAAATACTAATTAGAGGGCACGACCGCCTGAGTCCGGTTGTTCGGAGCATATGAGGGGAAAAGAGGGTCTTATTTTGGAAGCTTTGGCTTAAAACAGAAGTTGTTAAAGTGGACTTTTCTAGAGGACAGAAAGAAGAGAGGGCACAGCAGCTCCCTGAGTCCCCAGGGATGTACTGCTCGTGCTGACCGAGGGGACCTGGGAGGGGTCCCCATGTGAGCTAAGGTTCATAGCTTTAAAATGGCAGCATTAGATGGTAACTAGGGCAATCTTTGACTGCTGTGGGAGATGCGACCTCCCAAGACAGTTCAGTAGTGACAAGAGTGACTTTGTTTGACCCCAGGCACAGACTGGTTGGAGCATCCCAGCGGCACTGTGTGATTTCGAGCTCGGGGACGCGAGTGAGGTGGAGTGATGATCTTCCCGTCTGCCAGAGTAAGTACCCTGCAGCAGGAGCTGGGCAGAGATTGAGGAGAAACACAACGCAGCACAAAGAGATTCAGATCGGTGCTCTCCTTGGGAAAGATCTTCCAAGGCAAAGACAGAGAGCACCACCGCTGAGACGGGTTCATCCCCATCAGCTCCCTTCCTGGGAAGCGTCTGTGTCCTGCCAAGCCTGAGCACCCACTGCTGCAGCACTGATGCTAAAAGCCACCTTGTCCGTGCCCACAGGAATCGCCTGCGATCCACCTCCGGACATCCCCCATGGGAGACACAGCGGGCACTCCATGGACACCTTCTCCTACGCGGACGTGGTCACCTACACCTGCGAGCCCGGGCACCCGCTGGCTGGAGCTGCCTCCATCTTCTGCACCACGG